ACATATAATTTATATCTAAAACACACATGTATAAATTAATGTAATCTTACGGTTCTTTTCTCCTTTTTCAGCATTTTGTGTTTTATATGTATAAACGTGTATATATTTTCTCTTCATAAATTAAACGTAAGAAAAAAATTATCAGTCAGTACTCATAACTTCTTCATTAAATATCTACAAAAATAACATTTTTTTATTACGTCATTTTATATCACATGAATATAGTATTATTTGTGATGTAAAAAACAATAAGATTATATTCACGATTCGTTCATGATTCTCATATATACAAATATATATTATCATTAATTGTATATATATTTAATTAATTGTATATAAATAATAACATGAAATATGTGATAAAAGAATTAGACATGAACTCATTGCAGGAAGAAATTTTACGTAAGTGTGGAAAAAAAACAGAAGCTTTAATTCTTCCTGATGAAACGGAAAACGATAAAGAACATAAAGAAGATTTATTTGAGGAAGATATAGTCTCGATAGAAATCGAAAAAACTAAGAAAGACAAATTACTATTCGAAGATGTATTGGCTGAAAAACGCCGTAAATATACGACTAAACAAGAGTTTATCTATTCATTATATAACAACATACTTCCAGCTTTTGTAGTCCAGTATATTTTATATGATGCAATATATAATACAATTAAAAATTATTATTACATTATTAATTCATTTTGGTCAATACAGATGGGACGGATATTTTTTGCAAAAAGAATTTCCGATAAGATTGAAACAGAACGATGCTGAAACTACAGAAAGAAATAAAAAAATTGATGATTACAATAAAAATGATTATTTGTTCATGAAAAAACAAAAAGAAAAGAATAAAATAATCATTCCATGGAAGCTTTCATTACCGGATGAATTTGCAAACATAAAGTTTTACAACAATAATTCTTATTGCGGTCGTATTAGCAGGAAAATGATGGAAGGTGAAGGAACCTATACATGGCATAATGGTGTTCAATATAAGGTATCGATAAATATATTAGGATTATAATTAAATTGACAAGCAATTTAATAATTTTTGATGCTAATAAATATCTAATAAGATATATTCTTTATTTGATGTTAATAATCATTTAAAAAACTGTTAGTAATATTAGCAAGAATAAATTTAAAGACTTATGCAGGGCCAATTCGAACAAAATAAAATTCAGGGAAAAGGTTCCCTGAAATGGAACGATAATTGTTGGTATGAAGGCGACTTTGTGGATGGTCTTCGACATGGTAAAGGCATCCTGGTGGACAGAGCAAACAATCGTATATACGTTGGTCAGTGGTGTATGGGCCACATGTGTGAAAATAAACAAAATGTTATTGCGACATAAATATTTATTATATAATTTTATTATTACATCATAATATTTAAGAATGATTTATTTTCATATTCATCATTACATATTTTTAAAACGATAATAAAATTATGAAAAAATTACAAATTATTCTAAAAAACATTTAAAAATAACAAATTTGACAAATTTGGAGACGGTTTATTATTTGGATCATAAGTAATGTTAGTTTAATAAATAGTATTTTTTAAATCTGTGTTCTAATAAAAATATGTGGAAATGTATTATAAAATAAATGATAAAAAAAATCTCAATCTTTAATATATAATTATTATGTATTGAAGATTATTTACGTAAAGTTACATTGCAATGCATGAATTAGTCCAATAAATAAATAAAATATTTGTTCTATATCTTTGTAACTAATCATCAGTGAATCGCAATGAAACTTTACATAAATTAATTTGAATATTTGAAGTACTAATAAAAGAAAAATGTACATTTTTTTAATTATTTTTTAAATTTTAATTTTTAACAATAAGAATAATTACAAATAAATAAATTACAAAAATATGTTATTAAACAAAAAAACAAATAATTTTATTCACACAACTTTTATATAGCTTATTTGAAATGTAATTATTGTATTAAACATACTTCTATAAATTTAATTTTCTTTGTAGGAACTGTGTCTAATATAGTACATGATATGTATGATAATATCTTTTTTGAATTGCTATACAATGATTTTTAATGATGATATATTGTAATTATGAGCAATTAAGATCCAAATGCTATTTTTACTTAATCTGATAACTGGAATAATAAAAAAATCTTAAAAACATTTTTAGAAAATTAGAAAATTTTAGAAAATTTTAGATTTTATAGAGAAAATTTTATCTCTAGTTCCAGTTATCAGATTAAGTAAAAATAGCTTAATTGCTCATAATTATATCATCATTAAAAATCATCGTATCGTAATTCAAAAAATAGATTCTTAAAGTTAAAATTTTGTTCTGATATAATCTTTTTGAATCTGATATTATCTTTTTTTTTAAATCATAGTAGACACGATACAAGTAAAGTAGCACTATGAATTTTGTTTAAACAAAAATTGTGAAAATTTATAATGAGCTTTCATTTATCTAAATTAAAGTTTAGACATTTTTATATCCTTTTTTGATCCTAAAGCAAAGAACTCAAACTCCGACGAAAACACCAGAAGTCGCGTCACGCGCCGCACATCGACATGTCCTTTTATATTATTACAGCAATATCTCACGCAACTTATGACACGCAGTCACATGTACGTATCAATTTTCATATCATAAATTCGTCGTGTCTAAGTCTAATTCTAAAAACTCGACGTTATTCGTTCGTGTAAACTATGTGTCTAGGAACTATTTCGTATGTATAAATTGCAAAACTTCCATATCAAGCAAATGTTGTCATGACTTGACAGCTGAGACATCATATTACAGTAAGAAATGGTAAAAAATATATCAATTTTGAAATTTTTGATCGTTCTTGACACTAGATTCCACTTTCCAGTTTTAACGTATTAATGTGTATACTTTAATCCTGAAAAAGGATTTTCGAATCGGTGAAAAAGAAAAAAAGTATTTCCTATACAAAAATTATAATTATATAACATGAAGTGCTTACGTGGTAAAAACAGAAGGCTTTAGAATCCTCTTAAATTTATAATAATATCAAATTATATCCAATTATTCCTATGGAGTGCTACTGCTTCTACTCAATATATGTTAATTTAACTAAAATAATGGAATTAAATAGTTTAACTTAATAAATATATTAAATTTGACTTAAATTTAGTTTTATTAATTGTTGAGTACACGTTAGCATAAACGCTGTTTAATTATTTCAAAGTTTAAAACTAATGCAATTCAATCATTTGTAATATGTGTATATTGGATTGATAAAGTCATTTTTTTAATTACATAGTTTTGAATTAAAATAATACATTTTGATATTTAAAAAGTAAGTTAAATGTAACAAAATGTTATTTAACTCAAGGAACTATTTCAAATTTTATCTATTAATATTTAATAAGTATAGTTCCTTAAATTTTATATACATAATTTTAAAGTTTATTAGAAATTCAAATTTGTAATTAATCTAACAGATTTAAAAAAGATCTATTTTTTCAATTGAAAATTAAAATTTAATACTTTAAAATTATTTTTGTATCAATCTGGATGAATCGCGCGCGCGCGATTCATTTAACACTGCAAATACGCTAATTAATCAGAAAGATAAAAAGAATTCTATTATAGAGCAATCTATTATAATACAGGAATAATATAATATTAGGAATAATATAATATTAGGAATATATATTATACTGCGACATATCTATGTATAGTTCTATAAGTCTAACAGCTATAAGTCGTATTTTTGCAATCTTGCAATGAAATATTTCTGCAATATTTCTGTGCTGTACGGGTGGGAGTCAATTGTGTATCTTCAAATGAAGTAAAAATTATAAAAATAAGCAAATTCACTAGAATATTCATAATTTAATTGGTCAAGTAATCTTTGCTCATTTCTGTAAATTTTCAAAATCTACAATCAATCCCCTTATCGGACATTAGGTAAATTTTCAATTATCAAGCGGATAAGCGTGACGCTGAACCAATGAACAGTCTGCTGCTGCCCATAATTGGTGAACGGTGATTGGCGAATAGGCGAGCCAATGATGCTGATCGGCTTGTATTGGCTGTACTAACAGAAAAATTTCAATAAGTGCATTCAAAGCTTCTATTCTCGAAAAGTATCGCATACGAAAAATTAGAGAAATGCTATAGTATATGTAACGCATACTATAGTATTTCCTTAGTTTGTATATGCGATATTTTTCAAGAATAGATATCCAGCACGACCGCTCACTGAGCTTAGTGAACTCTTGCATCTGATTGGCATATTCCATTAGATCGAAAAATATAGACCAAACAGATATAAGAGCTCATTGAGCGCTCAGTGAGCAGTTGTGCTTCTGGATGCATCTAATATCGACGCGTATCGTATAGCGTATTCGACGCTCTCACCACTGTGATTGTGTCGTATAGTTTGTATAGTTTGTGAGAGCAAGTAGCGTTTATCCGCGAAAGAAATCGTCTTTCACAGAAAGAAATACAGTTTTTTGGTGACGTTCACTCGAACAAGAAACGATGTCGGACGTGATGGTGGATGAACGGTAACTATCGTCAACAATCATTGATAATTAAACGTGAGCCGATCTGACATCTATTCCTCTCGAAATTCGCGACGTTACTTCGATTGAATAAAGTCACTTCGGTCGTCCTGAAAGATATTTTTCGATTACGTTTTATCGATTCGTTTTTTAATCTATATTTAATATGTATCTTCTAACGATTTTGTTCGTATATTTTTGTCCATATGCCGCATAGACTCATCATTAACATAATTATTTTACTTTTATTGCTATCCTTTCGTTAATTATTTTCATAACATTTACTTTATTTAAACGAACATATTACAGAACATATATTTCTGTGTTGTGTATGAGAAAAAGAAAAGTGGAAATATCTGCCAATCTTTTATTGATCTAAATAAAAATGCAAATTATTAAATGGATGTGCCTTTACATCTAAAGTAACATAATACTTTATCACATCTTTATACATCTTGTAATAGATTTATTTAATCAATAATTTTGATTATTTTAAATAGATTTAATTATTTTAAATTAGGCTATATTTAAATTCCATTGTTTTAATGTTTATGATGTTTGCAGAGTGACTGATGAAATTGAGGCACTGAAAGCAATCTTATTGGATAATGAACTCAACATCAAGGAAAATGATAGGTATTGTGTATATGTAGAATATCTGAGAATTGATCTACATGGAATATTATGATTCTTTAATAACATAACATAATTTTCTATGTCAAACAGTAAGAGAAAAAATATTTGAATACATTTTTATCAGAGGAAAAATTAATTCTTTTGGCGCAGAGAATTGTATTATGTATTCCATGAATGTGAATTCTGAATATTTTATACATATTGAAAAGTAGTGGAAAGAGATGTAAATCCATGATGAGATTAAAATAATCAGATGTAATTAGAGACTCTCTAATCAGAATCTGATTATCTGAAGTGACAGCTATTTTTCATAAAAATTTTTCCAAACCGCAAGAGAAAAAATCGTGCTATCTTACTTGATCTCACTGTACAATGATGCTGTAAATAGCAGCTCTATAGAAATATTCTTAAAGTTTCATAGTTCTGACGAACGAACATTCTGGCACGTTCAGGTGACTAACTTCTGGCGACTACAATTAAGATTTAAAAAAACGTAAAAATTTAATAGTGTCTAATCATAAATATTACAACAGCAAGTCCATGACCATGCATCATGCATTTAAGTAAAAGCATAATATATAAATATAATATAAATATAATATAAATATTTATAATATAAATATAATATAAATATTTATAAATATAATAAATATAATAAATATTTTCATTATGCATTTAAATTCCTGTGATGAGATAAAAAAATATTTTGTTTTCAAATTCATTATAGTCTTAATTATCATTCATAAAAATTAAAAAGTTGTTAAATAATATGAACTAAATGTCTTTAATAATCTAACTAAACTCTTAAGTGCTATTGTAATTCTATGAATATACTATATATGTCCTTAAGGATATATTTACACAAACTTATACAGCATAAACATATACATAAAGAAAATTATCTAATTACATTTCTACCATACATGTGTAAAATACGATTGGATAATTTTCTTTATACATATGTGGCAAGTTTGTGTGCATATACCTTTAAACTGCGTGCTGAAATGATTTTTCTTGAAAAGCAAATTCTATTAACTACGCAGTAACATCAAGCAATTGACTAGCAATTTAACAATTCGATTTTTCACATCTTAAAACGATCTTAATAATGCTGAATGACATATTAAAATTTGTAAATAATTCTTATTGTGAAGAATATTACTTCAGCCGGGAATTGGATCCGGATCTCTAACATTCCATGCGAGCGTCTTAAACCTTTAGATTATTGACTTTAGTAATATTTTTTGCAAACAATTAATTATTTATCAATTTTAATATCATTCAATATTATTGAGATCATTCTAAGATGCGTAAGAGCATCTTATTAAAATGTTAATCATTTAACTCATGGTATTAGTGCAGTAGTTTAATAGAGTTTGCGTTTCAAAACCACAAAATCATTTCGGCATATAGTTTAAAGAACTACATATAATATATTAGGTGTAATAACAAGAAATCCATTATTTTTGCATGAAATTGAATGGAAAAATAATTTCTTTTTACTACACCTAATATAATATAATATAATATAATATAATATATAAATTCACATAGAATTATACAAGAGAGCACTTAAGATCCAGCCTAAACCATTAAAGGCATTTATTTCTTATTGATTGTATTCTCACATGTATGATCCTATGAAATTTAATATTTAATATTGTTGTTGTATAAATTAGAATTTTTCGAAATTTATATTTTTTAAGGACATGTCAATTTCTTTATCTTGTTTCCATATGGAGGTAAAATGATTTTCAATAGTATAAGATTACAAAAAGCCAAAAATGTATTTTTTATGAAAATAAAAAGATTTGTTTTACTGTAATAAATACTTTTTATATTATTTTGATATAATATAAGAATGCAATTAAAGGAAAGTAAAGAATAAAAAAATTAATGAATTGCACATAATGAAATTTATTTATACAGATAACTGATATTAAATAATTAACCCTAGTATGATATTCATAAATTCAACGTACTCTATGCGATTTTTTATATTACTGTAACTTTTTTATAATATAATTTAAAGATTGAACCCAGATTGAAAAAAAACTTTAACTGTCCACAGATATGATAAACCTGCAAGGGTTTTTTTTACATTATTCTCGATGTAAGAATATGTACACGAAAGTTCAAAGAGGGGGATCCCCAATGCATACTTAGAACCTACATGTGATTAACTTGTAAGTTTTCGGCATTCTGGGTATCCCTTTACTTTTTATTAAATATACTGGATTTTGAATAGTATAAAAGTAAGTACACGAAAATGTAGAACTAAAAAGAATTATATTTCAATATAATAAATAGTAGAAATTTTATAATTTCTGTCAGTTTTCGAAGATTCGGGGCGGATTTATCGCTTTAAAGTAAATGTTGCATCATCCTGTAAATTAAAAATCTTAAACTTAATTATAATACTATAATAATATTTATACATGTACAATTCTTTATTTATTTATATTATTACTCTTTTATATTGTTTTAATAATAAAATTTTATTTATTAATTGTAAACTTAAAATATGTAGATTTTTCAAAAATGTCGAATGAGTTTAAATAATTATTACTTTTTTGAGCGATTCATATTGTATTTTTTTTTTTTGATAGTCCAAAGGATCAACTAAAAAAATCCTACGGGCTTGAATATTAAATTTAAAAATTTGAGAATTTTTTATCCGAAGTATTTTTTCATCAATTGTTTGCGAATTTTTCCAATAAAATTTCTTTGAAGCATTGTAATTAATTGAAAATAAAATATTATTTATTTGATTCATATTTATCTGTATTTGTCTGACTTCGAGGTATAAATTTTACACGTTTTAAGTTAAAAAATACGTATTTAATCCAGAGATATAGCGTGACAAAGTTGCAAGGTTTCACCAGCCCTGGTTGCGGTCGGGAAGGTAACCAAAAATAACAATATCATACTAGAGTTAATTTTGTATTTACTTATTCATTTAATAAAAAGTATTATAATACAGAATATAAAATAAAGAATATTAATATGTTATTCTATACGTTTTTAGCTATACGTGATTTTATAGAGAAAGTGAAAGTTTGATATTTATTTTGCTATAACATAAAGAATAACTGTTGATAATAATTATTGTGTATTGTTCCATAAAACTACAAGGAATTTTTATTTATTAATAATAATTAATTTTGTAATCATGTTACTTTTTCGAAATAACTTATTTTATATGTAGAGAAATGTGAGATATATATAGGATGTCCTTGAATCATAACGCGTTGAGCTTGTAATGAGTATGGCTATGAACGTAAATATTTAAAAAATTAAATTGTCATTTACAAAAATGAACTTATCCTTCATTTGATCTTAATGCTTTCATCCAAAATCAAATCAATATGTCTCTCTCATACCACATAACAGTAAAAATAGGATTTTGATATCTTGCATAATTCTGGAGAAATTCAAGTGCGTTGATTAAAATGAAATGGCCAAACGCGAATTTACAATAATCATCTTCATGCATGTTCGAACTGCCGTCTCTGCATTACGAATGCAGAGAACAATATAATGTATCTAAATGATCGCGACACAGCGTGATTTGATAGCGTTATAAAATATTTTATAATTTCGATTTCAATTCATCGAGATCATGCAATCTTTCGCAATATACGATATCCTTAAGGTAATCCCAGAGAAAGAACTTTAAAATCGGAATCAGACTATGCATTGAAGATTGAGATTGAAGATTGAAGATTGAAATTTGACTAATGAGGACAAAGGAATTTTAGCTCCTATTGTTTTGATTGATCAAATTTTAATCTCAATCTTCAATATGTAGTTTAATTCCAGCCAACAACGGTGTTAGATCTGAGAATCTGATTAATAATGTATATTGTGTCGAGTCACATAGCCTACATTAGATACATTGTTTACATTCTTAACTATTTTTTTTTATATTTCCTAAATTCAATTTTTTTGGGGATTGTATTTATCGTATTTATTATCTGAAAACACAGACAACTAGTAATAGTCCTCGAACTGATTAAGAGTATGAATGTATACAGTTGTGTCGATGATTACAGCAATTGGAACATAACTTAATTGTGTTATCGTATGCGAAGTGTCTAGAAATATTGCAATTGGAAAGTATACTTCTTTGTTTTCTGGGTTTGAGTTTGGTTTCGCTTAGCAGGATTTATTTTTGTTTATTCTGAACCTTACAGTGGCAGATTACACATTACTGAAATATTGGATATGTCGTTAATTTGAGGTCACGGAAATTTTAGAACTGCCGCGCGTTTGTATCGCGATCGATACTCTAATAGTTGTCATCCAAATGACTCAATAATTAGGAATTGCATAATAATTGCATAATGCTTTAACAAAATCGAATTTGTAGAATTCATATGTACACCACCAAAATCGTGAAATTATTAAGCTCATAATTTTAGCTGCTTTAGTTATTACAAAGCCTACAATAAGTATTCGTAGAATAAGTACTGTTTACGGTATTCCATCTTCAACTATTTCTTCAATGATTTCTTTATAGATATGGTTTACAACAAGTTTTTTGAACAAAAACTGCCAGAACTATTAAAGAACGGCAATTTTTCAATTTGGCAAAAACTGTGATTTTAAGATGGGATGCCTGCACATTATGATCGTAGAATTCGAAATATCTTAAACCAAATGCTTTTGAAACGCTGCATTGGAAGAAGTGGCCTTATTACCAGCTAAATCAGACGTAACGCTGTTAGATTACTTTCTCTGGGGTTACCTCCAGGATATTGCTCTAATTTAAATCGTTTAATACCTATACCAACTAGTATTTCTATTAAATCTTGATTTCAGCATGTTTAAAAAAATAGTGTACTAAGATAGTACAATATGCATCAAGATTAATTAAGTACATGTATCATGTATATATTTACATACCTTGCTGAAATTGAAACAATAGAAAGTTACTTATATAATAATTCTTTCGTCCACCTTATCGAATATTCGTACCAATAACTTTAAGAAAGTATTAAATCATCGATATAAATCAGGACATTGTATATCGTGAATGATCCCGATAAGTTCACACGAATTATAACAGCCTATCAAAATATTTCGTCACTATCAAATATGTCACGATCATTTAGACATTTGTATTGCTCTCGTATTCATAATCAGAGACGACAGTTCGCATATGCACGAGGACGATTATTATAAATTCTATTTGATTTTCGACGTCTTTCATAACGTGAGTTCGTAATTAGTATGCCTACGAAAATAAATGTTAAAAAAATTAAATTGCCGTTGTCAAAATGATCAAATTTTATTAATCAAAATGTCTGTCTCGTTCGACATCACATAACATTGTAAAAACAAGATTTCAATGTCTTATATAGTTCCGCAGAAATTCAAGTGCGTTGATTAAATGAGACATTCTATATATATAAATGAGAAATATATATATATAAACATATAT